TTGTTTTATATTTGTACATACTTAAGTGAAACGATTCAGGAGCCTGTTTTCTTAATTCTGAAATCTCCAATGCTTTATCATTATTTTCTGTCAGTAGAGCGCTTACCTAGCACATGTGAGGCCCTGGGTTCAATCCTCAGTACAACATAAAAATAAATAAATAAAATAAAGGTATTGACAACTACAACTAAAAAATAAATACTTAAAAAAAAGGACTCAGATTACTATCTTGGGGAGACAGGTCCATGAATTTTTTTTTTCCCCTAAAGAATTGGTACATGTATCAGATTTGAGAAAGTGTCCCTGACAAAAAGTAATTCCAATACAGTGACAAATGGTTTGACAGAACAGGTATGGGAATACACAGCAGTGTCCCAAAACCCCAGCTGTGGACCACAGAGTGTCTATACGAGAAAGAGGGGCTTGAATGGAGTGGGCCAGGTAGGAAAACTCAGGGCTGTGCCCAGCTACTCCCAGCCAAGGGAGAAAACCTAGAGGCCTGAGGGTCAAGGGCCAGGAGGAGCCTGGACCCACCCCAGGTAGATGGGTTCAGGGCAACATCAGATTTGTGCTTTAGTATTCTAAAGAATAGACTGAAGGAGAAGGCTGAAGACGGTAAAGAGGCTGTCTGGGTGATCCTGGCTTTTGGGCTCTAGACCTTTTGCCTGTGCTGTTCTACATTCTGTAAGTTCAAGGCCACCTCTTCTGGGAGCTTTGGGTCTATTTGAAGCTCCAGCCCTGCCTGGGCCGAGTTTTTGCTACCCTTGTCCCAGCAGAGATCACTTTTGCAACATCAGTGGCCAAGCCTATCTCCTACCTGACCCACGCTTGATAGTCTTTAGGGTGTCCCTGAGGCATGGAGCTGAGTACAATGGGGGAGCTCAGGAGGACCCTGAAACGCTTTGTGTTACTAGGCACCCAGGCTCATCCAAGACTTTCTGCACTAGGGGAGAAATGAGGATTAAGTCAGGAGCAAAAGCACCCACTGGATACCAACCACGGCATAGTCAGCCTTGAATTCTTCTCAGTCCCTCCTCTCTATACCCTAGAAAAATATTACAACCACCTCCCTTTGTCCAGATCAGAAAATAATGAGGCTCAGAGAGATGGCAGTGACTTGGCCAGGGTCCAGGCTTCCTCATGTGGAGAGGATGGAATCTGAGTCAGGATCTGTAACTCTAGATCCCTT